GAGGTAACTTAACTCTGAGCGTGGAAGTTATGGTCACCACTGCTAGTTACAGTGACCATGTTTACAGGGGGCAGTCCTCTCTTGGAAGGCCTGCCAGAGGACGATCCCTTGGCTGAACTGTCGCCCATCAACAGCACTGGAGAACAGGCACCTGGCCACACTCTTCTGGGATTCCCATTTAAAATATAATCATTATTTCTTAATGCACATTCACCCATATGGATTAACATGTGCACATATTATGCAAGGCAGTGCCCTCTTTTATCCTATATGCAGCTGGTGCTTGTCCTCTTTTTGATCCTGGCCACTGAGAGCCATCTTTTTATTTATGTATTTATTTATTTTTAGATTTATATCCTGCCTTTTTCCTAAAAAGGGCTCAAGGCAGCTTACATCATTCTCCTCCTCCTCCATCTTATCCCCACAACAACAACCCTGTGAGGTAGGACTGATTCCTTCCTCAAGCCATTCAAGCTGGTGGCTGTCGCTCCCTCTCGCAAGGGCACGCTCCATAATTTGACTGTGCGGAGATGTACTGAGAAGGGCTTGCTTTTATCCCCCTGGAATCCCTTGCCAGTCAAGTTCGTGGGGTCTAGTGTTATGCCAGTGGGAGAGGAATGCCTCCCCATCCATTTCTCCAGACCATCCATCACGTGTGCACTTCCATCATACGTCCCCTCGCTCACCTTTCTTCCCAGTGAATCCATCATAACTCCCTCACCAGGCACCTGCTGCAGCTCCTACAGAACTGTGCCTGGCCTAGTCCAGTACATTTAGAGTGCTCTGATTATGGGTGTACTAAAAATTGATGCAAAGGTCTTACAATACCAGCAGCTTTGCTTTTCTGTTCCGTTCCCAAAGATTGGGAGCTTGGTTCTTCTGCAGCAGCCACACGCCGGGGCAACGCTTTCATGGAAGCACCCATTATGATGCAAGTTCTCTTTCTGGGTTGGGCCCTGCCAGCTCAGATGAGGTCTCTCCAAGTGATCCTGACTCACAGCAAGTCACTCACATTCTTCTTTCCTTCGGCAAGGCTGTAGGTGTTTGAATCTTGAAGCTGCCTCCACATAGTAGGAGCTATAAATAAAGTGGTTAAGACTTTCTTTGGCTTAATAGGAGCCTGCAGAACACACAGTTCAGGGCACTCTTCCTGTATCTGGCCTGCAGTTGCTATTTAACAGCACCACAGTGACAACCCGCATATATGAAATCCACTCAGATATTTAACGCATCCTTTTGTTTGGCCCTAAGCACAAGATTTCCTTGAAGAGATTTCTAAATTTACATCTGTACATATAAATGAGCACATGCACATGTTATGCAAAGCACTGTCCTCTTTTGTCCTTTGGTAGTTTGCTGTTTTTGAGACTCACGGCAAGGAGAACGTTTGGAGTCTCTGGTCTCTCCAGAAATAACCCCGGGCATCCTCTGAACTCATTGCTCTGTGAAATGGAGCAGGGGGACTCTTGCAGCAAGCCGCTGGGGCATCTTTTGACCAAGACGGAGAACAGACACCTTCCACAATCAAAAAACACATTTATCCCCAACCGAAAGAAAAAAAAGATACTTGCATTTGGAAATTTTAGAAAGTGACGTGGATCTTGTGGTGCAGCTTGGAGAACTTCAACAAGCTTGACCATCACAGGCAGACTCACCATTAATTACAAATCTGAGCCAGTTACAGTTCTTTTCTCCACACATGCACACATTCATCGAGATGTATTCTGGAAAGTGTAGACTAGGGAGTGAGGAACCTGGGTTCCTTTAGATATTGTTGTATCCCAACTCCCATCGGTCATGAGTGATAGGCCTTGGAGCCCAACCATTTCTTCGGCACCATTGGTTCTCTACCTTTTCTGTAGAGGAACATGCATAGCTATTAAATTCTGGCCCTCTTCCTGTTAATATGAAATTCTTGTGAGTTGTATGGAATTCCCAGTCCTGTCCAATTTAATATATGAGTTTGTAGACTGTTTTAGGACAGATAGATAAAGCATCAAAAGATTGATGCTGCAGATTAGGGAAATTAATCTTTAAAAAAGCACACAACGGCAACCTGAAAAGCATTTCTCACAGAACCCAAAAGCTTAAACTCTCCAAGTCCCAGCCAAGGAACGCAGCAAGCTCCCCTCATGCTCTGCGGTGCTAATGGCATCCACATTTTGCATCATCTTTCATCCCATGAGCTGTCACAAACCTTACCCTCTCCTCCCCCTAAATGCAGTGTCAGGACAGTGCAGAAGGAACCATTCATTTTATGGGTGTGGACTACATTTGGATAGCCTTGAAAGCAGTCTGTGTCGGCTTTCTATTTAGCAAGATCAAATGTGCCTTACTAAAATAAGGAACAAATATGGAAAATACAGAATTAATTCATTAACATGAATGACAGTGTCAAAGACTTGTAGAAGTTAATGTTGAAAGATAGATATTATATAACCTTTCCTGGGAATTCTAATAATAAAATCAAGAACTTGACATCCGTACAGAGAACAGCCTTCACCCCCTCTGAGTTAAGTTCAGTTTTGCTCTTTTTTATTTGAACTTTGCTACTGCCAGAATGAATCTTGCTTGCTTTCCATTATGACATTTGTTCCAGCCCCCGAAGCTGGTCAAGCAGAATAGTCGTGCATTGTTCCCCCACCGTCTTTCATTAAGGTATTCCCCATTGTAATACCCCAGAGGCTTTGGCTGATTCCTCTGAGGCCACGGTCTCCATATTACAGGAGTCCAGTTGCAGTGTTAGCCTAAGTCTTGCTTCTCACCCTTCTAGTTAAGCATTAGTGGGGTGGCAGTTTCTACGGCTTGCACTCGGAAAATGGCCGAGTGAATTGCTCTGAAACCTGGCAGTGTACAAGAGTTCAGCTTAAGGATGGTTTGTGCTGGTACGGAGGTAGAAAGGGAGAGAAATAGGGGTTGAAAATGCTATGAGTTACTTCCAGCAGTTTGACATGATTGGCCTCTTTTCTTTCCATCAGCGTTGCTCAGGTTGCGCTTTATGGTCTGATCTCTCCATTTGTACAACAGCTTTCAAGACACTGGTTGCCCCGTCAGGCTAGCGGGGAGGCTTCGTATGTGCCGAGCCCTTGTAGTACTGCCATGTGGTTGTGGTTGTGGGTGGCACTTCCTGCTAGGTCTGTCACCGGGCATGGCCAGAAATCCAGCTTTCCCAGTGGATGGTACTGGTGGCCAGTTAGCTGCATACTTGTAATGTGGAATGCAAACTTGCATTGCAGAAGGGACTCAAATGCATAAACTCCGCACGTCCGTTTTAGCAAGAAAACAAGTCTGGGACTTCGCTGCACCTCTCTGCCACCGACAGGCGACCAGATCCAAGGCTGTGGCAAAGGTGGAACTAATCCCAGCAGAGGAAAGCATGCAGTGTGTATTTTGCCTAAATAACACATCTGTTGTATGTGAAGAGTGTGTGCGACCATGTGGTGCATTGTTGTGCAACTGGAACCAGGAGCAAGCAGCAGAGGCTGATGATGGCAGACAATTTAGTGTGGCTAAAACCAAAAGGGATTGCGAGAAGCTTGAGCAAGCTCTCGCCCAGCTGGAAGAATGGGCATCATCATGGCAAATACTTGAAAAAGGACATCATTGAGATGGAAACGGCACAGAGAAGGGCAATGGAAATGACCAAGGGCCTGGAGCAACTTCCAGGTGAGAAGACAGCAGGGACTGTTCAGGTCTGAAAAATGGTAAGACAAGGCAAGATGGAGGTGTTTAAATTTGTCAGGGGTCCGTTGCACCAAGGTTGCTGGCAGGAGATGTAGCTGCTTGATATAACTTGATCAGGTTGGTCACACCTCTGACTGTAATTCAAGTCAGCTGTCCTCAGCAGGGGGAAGATCGGGGGCACTGAAGGATGAAGGGGTAGGCAGAGAAAAACAGGATCACTGGAAATTTTGAAGGCAACTTTTTAAATGCTTGGTAGGCGCTTTTTTTTTTTTAGCTTGTGGGTGTCTGGAAGAGACAATGGCCACAGGAGCAGCTCCGTCAGCCTGGCTTATGAGACTTCATGTTCTTAAAGGATTAGTGGAGTTTCCCCTATCCCAAGAGTTCTTAAAATGTCATCTTTTTCTTTCCTCCCTTTGCAAAAAATAAAATTAAATTTTAAAAACCCTTCACAGAAATTGCCACAGCTTGACATTTGGGGCAGGGGGCAGGAACACTTCTCATCATAAATATGGAACATTTAATGCATTCCCTGGGAAGCTAATAACATCTTAAGTGAGCAAAGTTATGCCTGTTCAGACAGAAAAAAACCCTGAAACTCCAGCTCCCCTCCGGTGAGCCATGCAGGTTGGGGGATGCTGGATTTTGCAATACTTTTTATCATGAGCTTGCCCCCCCCCCCCCGCCTCTTCGCACATTCAGAATGACAGACCTTTCTTGCAAAGCATTATTTATCAACCAAAGTGTTTTCCAGAAGCACAGACTCCCAGAATGAATCTCTGAGCATGCTCGGAGTAGTTTGCTGAACTGAATCTAGTATTTACTTCGGGAACTCTTCTTATGAGTATTTTTGGGCCCCATTTTTTTTTTGTGGGGGGGGCGTCTGGAATTGAGCATGCGTCCTCTCTGCATGCTGCTCCTCTGAGCTGCCCTCCTTTGCTGACGTTGCAGCAAGGGCCAAGAGCCGTGCCCACCTCAACAGCCTCCCCTGCTCCGACCGTACATCTCGGAGGGAACCCTTGGCGGGAACACGTTCACAGGGTCTCCATAAGTGGGAAATGACTTGATGGCACATAAAAATAGCGCAAGTTTGTTAGATGACGTGCTTCCAGGGTGTCATTGGACCCTTTTACATTGTGTGTGTGTGTGTTAATGTCTCCAGTAAATGGGAGGGCTAATTCACCAGCAGTAATTTCCGAGAGCACTTTGACCCTCGTTTTCTCACTGAGAGAGAAGGGTCTGGGCTCCTCGTGCGCACACACGTGTGTCCCTGTTGTGAGTTAACCCATTCTCTTCCTCTTCTCTCCCACTGGTGTCAGATGGCCTGCAGGCAAGATGAAGATGACAATGGCCACCGCTGGCAGTGCTGAACCCAAAGGAGCCATGAAAAGCCACAATCCGCCAGGGAAGAAGCAGCCGGCAGGACCCACCACCTCTGCCCCTTCCCGATGGCGCAGGCGCCGGTTCCGGTGCCAGGCTCCCTCCGAAGCGTCCGTGAAGGGGCAGCTCCGCATGCGCTCCCCCTCGGGGGCCTTTGTGATGGTGGGCGTCTCGGTGGTCCTGGTGGGCATGATCATTGCTGTCATTGGGTACTGGCCTCATCGCACGAGGCCTGGAGCTAGCCGGCCAGGGAGTGCCAATGCCACTGATGAGATCAAGAAGGAGGTGAGGGTCTCTCCCCACCCCCGCCTTTCCCCTCACAGCGAAAAGCTGAAGCTCATTGGGCCCGTCATCATGGGCATTGGGCTGTTCATCTTCATCTGTGCCAACACCCTCCTGTACGAGAACAGAGACATGGAGACCCGCCTGCTGATGCAGAGGGAGCTCTACTCCATGAGCTTGAAGCTCCCCCCAGATGCAAGCCAAGCAAGCAGCTACTTCCAGAGAAGGCCCCTTCCGTCCACCCCTCAGGCCAGTGCAGAGGGTGTGGAAGGTTGCTATGAGGTGGACCTTTCCTCCAGTGGCTTCCAGTCTTGCTCCAGCCCTGTGAGGAAATGGGCTAACAGCTATGGCTCAAACAGGCTCCAGACCACCACCCAGTTCCTCCACCACAAGAGTGTCTCACCTGCCCTTTCCCTCCTGAGTGTTCGCTCAGACTCTGGCAACGCCCTGCAAGAGAATCGCAACCTCTCCTTCGCCCATGGACCAGAGTCCGTCATCTCCTCGGCTGTCAATGCCCTGTCCCTGCCTCTCTTTAGGCTGAACACCTGCCTTCTGGAAAACCGGGGCATTTCCCGGGTGGTTGTCCGGGACTTGGAAGGCAATTGTGTCCGGTTACCAGAGGAGCAGGAGGAGGTGCTGAGGCTCTCCTGGACTCTCCTGCCGGGATGCAACAGCGTCACTCCCAGAAAAGACAAACTGCAAGGCAACCACATCGTTCTTGATATGGATAGTGAGTCTCCCTCAGCCTCCTCCGTTGAAAAGTCCCTGCACCCCGATTGCACAAAGAGAGAATTCAGTTCAGACACACAGATCCCCAATGCAGGTCATTCCAAGTCCCTGGATCTTGGCCAGCCAGGAGTGGTGGTGGTGGCACCCGTCAAAGACAGGAGGCACAGGAGCTGGCCTAGACTCGACCACATTGGTCTGGTCAACTATGCAAAACTGGAAAGCAGGGGTGACTCTTCCGATAGGCTTTTGGACACAAGCAGGGATGCTTTTCCAGATGACAGCAGGGAGTCTTCTCAGGAGGTTGTTATGGAAACAGGTTCCAGGGCTTGACTCTTCACTGGGGCACCATAAATGTTTTTCTTCCCTTCCTGTTACTTTGCTGTGTCATGTCGGGCACTGCCGAGAATGGACATGCGCGTACGTTAAGAAACGAACTTTGCAATGGTGGCTGCTTCGTCAACAAATGCCTGAACCTAAGACTGGGCTGCTGCAAGAGAGCCACCTTAGAAGCCGTTTGGTGGATGGCCTGTCTGCTTCTTGCCTTATCAGATCCCTCTTCAACAATTCTCTCTCTGTTTAGCGTGAAGATCTTTGCTCTCAAATGGAAATGGACTATGAGTTCTAACATCACGTGTGCCGTGGTGGTGAGGAAGGTGGTATGCGGCATCCTACTTTCCCCCATCCCTCTAAGATCACATTAATCCAGTCCACACATCAGCGGAACCCATGGGTCATGGGGCTGTGGGGTGCTGGCAATGAAGCAGGAACAAGCACATGTGCTGTTTCTTACCCCCTGGTTGCACCTGCCCTGTCCCTGTGTCAGGATAGTTCATACCGATGCCTGATATCTGGAACTGTAGGCAGTTGTTGGAGGAACAACCCAGACTAATAAGCAGTGGTTTATTCCTGGGTTTCAAATCCAGGCTGTCTCTCCTGCAACAACCCACGGTTCTGGGTTTGGATGCCGTAACACAGGGAAAGAGGGTTCCTGGGTTATTTAACCCACTCAGGGCAGACAAGTGGCCAGGATGCAGACCTTTGCTCGCTCCGGTTTGTGCGTTTCCACCCTGGGCTTGTTAAACCCATGATGTGTGAAATGGATCTTCTGGTAAGACTATAGGGAAGAGTCAGATTGCTGGGGTGCAGAAATTATAAACTGGTGCCTCCTAAATCCACAGATCTGGTTTTTTAAAATAATGAGATTCTACTTTTATATAGATGATGGTTTCTGAGCTCTTTCTGACTAACTGTGATTGATCCCTGCCCAGGGTCCTTTTCTGCCCAGGCAGAAGTACAAGGTCTCATTGCGTGTGTGTATGTGTGTTTTTAAGAGATTCTTACAGTTTTATTGCCAATCACATAATTTGGGCTCCAAGAAAGCCAAAAATTTCTAAGTAAAAATCCTGCAAGTTAAATGATGACTATTTTTTATCCCTTTCCTATCTGTTAGAGAATCAGTGGGTAATGCACTTCCAAAAAATATTTTTAAAATGCTGTGTGAAGATCTGTCGCCATTAGTTATGCCTTAACCATATTTCTCTTTCTAAGGAAGAGTCACAAACCGTTTCCAGCTGTTCTCACCTCCTTAGAAAAGTTCTCCTTCTCCCTTCATCTTTAAAAAAATCATTTCACAAGATGGTGAAGTCCTAAAGGAGCGCCATGTTTTGATGAAGTTGGAGAATTTTTCTGTGACATGCCTGAGATTTGCACTGCACAAATGATGCAATTTTTCTAGCCACTAACCACCAGAAAGGATGGCCTGATGGTGTAGGCAGGACAGCACCTTAGAAACATAGAAATAGAGTGAGTCAGAAGGGGTCTCCTGGGCCAACTAGTCTGACCCCCGGCTCCAGCTGGCTCCGCTCACAACATGCCCACCATGTACTTGAAGCACTGAAGGGAGTGAAGCTACTTTCCAAGTACACAAGGTCAGGATTGCGCCGTTGAAGACACAACAGTGCTTGCTTAAGTCAGGGAGAACACAAGAAGAGGCTTCCCGCATCCACACATGGGAATATCTAGTCCAGGTGGTTGTTTCTGACAACTGGATGCTTTTGGATGCATCAAATTCTCCAGTAATGTACTCTTATCAACAGCTGCTCAGAGGCAGGTTGCCGAGTCTTGGGCTTTGGTCCTGAAACCTAGACTTTGGGCAGCAAGCTCAAATCTCAGGTCTGTAGTGTAAGCACAATGCAATGCAATCCCTCTGACACAGAAGGGGAATCTCAGGCTGAAGGGCCAGTGTGGAGTAGTGGTTAAGAGCACCGGTCTGGGATGCAGGAATCTGGGTTCGAGTCCCTTCACAGCAGTGGTGCCTCCACAAAACAGCTCCTTCCACAGGGCATTAATCTGACATCTCCAGTGGCCTTTGGGCACCTGGCAACCACCTTGTCATTCAACAGGACGTTTCAGATCTGCTGATGGTTTCTACTCCTGCTATGCTCTATTGCACAGCTGTTCTGTTGCCCTGCAGGTTAAGCGAAAAATGGAAACTGCCTCTAGGATTAGAGCACATTAGGATCCCTCATTTACTATAAGGGAGCAATCCTGTGCATACTAAGTCAGAAGTAAGTCCTACAGCTGCCAGGTTAGAAATGCCAGGAGTTGGGAAACCTTTTTCCTGCATTGTCCTACGCTATTTTCCTGCATAGGATGGCATCGTAGTCTGGGGCCTGCCAACTGCCCCTCCTCACCCCCACAGCTGAGCACCTGTGACTGGCAGGCAGAGACAGCTTCCCTCTTTGGTGCATCTGGAAGCATTAGGTCCTGCGGAAGCTCTTTCTGTGCTATGCAACAGGGACGCTTCAGAGGGGTGCACACCCTCCCCCTTCCACTGATGGCAACCACAAACACTCCTTTCCTGGGTTGCCCCACATTCCCTTTGTATTACTGATTCCATTTTAATCGTTATTTTATGCTCCTTTGTCTTCAAAACGAAGCAAATTATCTGCAGCCAAGCGGCTAAAGATAATGAAAGGCAAAGTTTCATTCACAGGATGTTTACAGCCGTTGTAAGAGCACACTTGTTACTCATTCCTCAAAGTAGCACTTCTGTTGGGCCCCTTTTGACAGCATTTGCTATTTATTTCAAACAATAAACACAGGAGACAGAGAGATGAGCTACAGGACTGGGGAACAGATGGGTGCCGCACGCAAACACATCTGTAACTTTTCCTCCAGGAAAAGTTAGAGTCCTCCAGTCGAAATGCGGGCTGCTTAATTTATTTTGCAGAAATGGCAGACACCGACACCTCCCCATGCCCCGGGGAGCCCTGCCAAGTTCTGTGTGCTGTGCTCCTTTGTCAGGCTTTCTCCCTGCCCCCCAAGCGGGGCAGAGCCAACAGGGGTGTAGCCAAACCAGAGCCACCAAAAATCGGTAGGAAAATGCAAGCATGGTTGAGAGGACCCCAAAAATTACAGAAGCACACACCTCTGCCCCCCAGATAAGAACAACAAACCTTTGTGGCTTTGTAAATGGGCAACTGCCTCCTTCAAACCATCCCGGTTAGAGCTGAACTTTGTGGCAAGCAGGGAATGGGATGGATTATCCAAGAAGAGGCACAGCTGGCTGGAATCCTGACACACGGCCCTGCAACTGGCTGCGCCTCCGAGCAGAAGTTCTCTGGATGCATTGCAGCATGCCGACCTCTTGTTTGAGTGAAGACAGGGCCCCAACCGTGGGGCGATCCCTGGCTCCATCTCGGCCTGCTGCTGCAGCACCCCTTTGCACCTCGGAAAGATGGGGTACTGGGGGTGCTGGCATGGAATCCTGGCTGGAGAGGAGCTATGCGAAGGGAAATTGGATTGTGTTTAAATCGGCAGCAAAGCCTTTTCTGTCTTGAAGGCTTGGTTTTTGGCTTAACAAATTGGGTCTTTTGCCAGTAGACTCAAAGACTTCGCTTAATTCAGAATCAATCTGGAAATCAAGTAAAATAGTGGAGTCAAAACATAGGAGTCCCTCTGGATGAAAGGCTAAACCCCCAAAGATCAAATTTATCCTCCTGCAATCCTGGCACAGAATCCTCAGAACTCCCATATTACTAAGGAATTCAAAGACAAACCTAGTTTTTAGAGAGCCCATCTTCGGGGGCAGCCACCCCCCCAGCCAGGCACCTCCAGATACTTTGAACAGTGACTCCCAGCAAGCCTGCTCATTAGTCACGCTGGCACCCTGGCGATGAGAGTTGGAGTCCAAACCAGTTGGAGGGTGCTGCTTTGGGGAAGAATGTCTGGGGGGAGCAACCACCCCTCAGCTTTTGTGGCAGTTGTCTAATGCTTTCTCTGATCGGATGCTGTCAAAGGCGCTTCAGGCAAGGCCCTCTGAGCTGCCCTCGATGGCCCATGTGCCACAGTTGCATGGGGAATGGAGCAGCCGAGCCAGCGACCTCGTCACAGGCCAGCTGCAGAAATCTGCTCATGGTCCAGGGAAGGCAAATGCAGCGGGGAGCCCTGGGCTGGGCCGGGCCATTCCACGGACTCCAGAAGCAACCTTGTGCTGAAGCCGCTCCCTCCTTGTGACGTGGCCCGGATGTGCCTTCTCCAGCAGGTATTGGACTCGGCTTCCCATCATGGCCCAGCTGGCCACACGCCTTCAGGGGGCCATACTGGTTCCAGCTCCTGGGGGGTCCTTGGCGAGACCCCTTCAGTGGGCCGCTCTTCCTCGGCGGCATCACCCCCGGCTGCTGCACCTCTTCCCGGCTGCCTGTTTGCCCGGCAGAGAGCCGAAGAGCACGCCCGGATGCCACACGGGGGGACACCTGTTCCTTCCTCACGGCAGCACCACGGCCTGGGCCGCAGCGAGCGGCAGGGCGCAAGGGTGGCGAGAAGAGCAACGCCGGGGTCCTCCGCCAGTGGACCCCCTGAGACGTGGACCTGGCTGGGGCCTGGTCCTGCTGACCCCTGATGCCAGCTCGGACTAGGAGTGTCCCCCTGCCTTCTCCGTGGGGCAGAGGGAGGCAGGGAGAGGCAGCAAAGCCCCGGAAGGGCAGAGCTGCAACTTGCTTTGCCTCCCCGACACCAGGCCTGCCTGCTCCCCTCCAGTGCAAGGAGGGGCCCTGCTGCATCGCCCCCCTTGAAGAAAGCTCCGGCAGCATCTTCGCGCAGGGGGATGTAGTGGATGCAACCTCGGCCGCTCTGGCTCAGGCTCCCCCGCCAGGAGTGCTTCCCTCCCCGTGCCTCGACGCCGGACACGGCCTTTCCCCTGTCGCACAACCCCCTTCTTCCTGACCGCTTCCACCACATCGGCTCTCCCAGCTGTGGGAGGGGGCTGCAGGCTGACCGATGTGCCAAAAGCAAAGCAGGGAGGTAAAGTGGGGAAAGCACCACAGTTCTCCTGCCCATGTCAGAAGGGATCACCATGGCCTCTCTCACCACCAGCAGAAAGCCCTGGCAGGACTCAGGGTGAACTGGATGAACAGATCCCATTCTGTCCAGTGTTTTGTCAGGTCTGGAATGAACACACACTCCTACCAAAAGGTAAAAGACTAAAGTCAGTCTCTGTCACCACCTGGAAAGAATCCATACACAGAGTTTTGCCATGGCCAGATGCTTTGAGACTGTGGGCTCCTTTGAGAATGGCCAGAAGGAAATGCTCTGGCCACTACTACGTCAGGAACAAGCAACTATTTTTTAAAGCCACGACTCCCATGAATCTCAGCCAGCACAGCCAATAGCCAGGATTGCAGGACAGTTGTTGAAAAGATCCGGAGGGACTGAGGATGTGGAAAGCCATTCTACACTGAGAAACAGTGGCTTTCTGGGGGAACAGGTGGGGACTTCCCAGCCCTAACGGAGATGCTAAGAATTAAACACAGGACCGCCTGGAAGCTAAGCAAGCCCTCTATGGCATCACAAGGTCATATGGTAACTCATACATAAAGATGCAGAGGATCATGGCCAGGTGATTTGTGCACCTGTCCAGGTGCCATGTGCTGACAGGTGAGGTCAAGATCACCAGTCTCTTCTCCCTTCTGAAGTCTTCATCTTTACACTGGGCTAGAACAGTCCCTCAAACAAGAATGCCATCAACAGAGAACTGGCCTCAGCAAACCAGAACCCAGGGCCACCCAAGCAGGTTCTGCATCCTTAGCAATCCTGCGTAATGGGAGGCTGCTTCCTGCCACCACCAAGCCCTCCAGTTCAGGTAGTCGGTGGCTGCAGCTTCATCATCTTAAGATTTGAGGAGTGAGGCTGTTCCCAAAAAGACAGGGGGTGTCTTTTGTGGCTTCCGCTGCCCCAGGCATAGGTTTTAGCCTTGGATTTTCTGGACAATTTATAATGCAGAGCAATCTCCTCCTCAGTAGTTCAGCTCCAAATGATTTTGATTGCTTCTGCAGTATGCACAAGGTTGCTTCCTGCTCTCAGTCTGGATCTTGGAGTTTTAAAATGGGAATCAAGATTTACCTAATAAAGCCGT